TTAGAGACCGTGAAACGCAGCGTATCAAGGACACCATGTCAGCAGAGAAGACGGAGCTTGACGGATCCTCTTCTGCTAATCCTCTCCTTCTTCAGCTCCAACAGATTCTAATTTCCTGCTCCAAGGTAAGCACAAAGCAACCCTCTCATCCAATTCGTTTTGTTGAGAATAGTTAAATTTCCATCCATATTCATTTTCGTAGTCAATCGACGGCGGAGGAGACCTTGGTCAATCTCAAACCTCAGTCGCGGAGCTCGTCAACTTCCTCGATTCCTTGTCAGACGCCGCCATTTCGGAGCCAGAAAACGAAGATGCAAGCGCCAATGTGCTCGAAATTCTCTCTCAAACTTATAATTTTTTGTGCTCGCCTTCTCTGGATCAGGTTTTTATCGCATCATTTTACGTGATCAAGTATTTACGAATGTTTTTTCCTTATATTAATCTTATTTATGAAATTTATGGATCATTTCACAGGAGGTTATCGATGCGCTTTCGTTTGAGTTGCCAAAGTCAGTTTCAAAATTTGCAGGAGTTTCGCTTAAGTGTTTGGAGATTGCTGATAACATCATTGATCGCTTCATACAGACATGCAGTCCTCGCGATATGCTTTCGATTCTTTGCGAGGTCTGTGTATTTAAATTGCATTGTTTTAAATTTTCTATGAATTAATGGTCACAAGTTTTTGTTGATTTTTGAATTTTAATGGATCAGGCGTTAGATTCCCCAAATAAGACAGTCAAAGCTTCCGCTTATGTTTCTCCTATTATAAGTGGACTTTCGAAAGGTAATCAATCATATTCATCTGAAAAATTCAAGAGTGATTTTCTTTATTGAATCTATTTGTTTGAATATTCATAAATATTCTTGTTCTTGTTTCAGTATTTCTTTCCATTCCAAGGCGCCATTTTGAACAAATTAAAGTCGCAGTTCCAGTTGTTGTTAAAGTTGTGAACACCATTTCTTCAGAATCAGACTATGAAGATTCAGAACTGGAGACTTTGTTTGACAGAACTGTCAACATTGCTCACTCTATACAAGTGGTTTCTACAAAACTGGTCTGCAATGCTTGACTTCATGTTAGGCCATTTTCGAAATTCTTGATGTGTTTTTCTATTAGTTCCTGATAATTCTTTGCTATTCCTTATAATAGGAGGCTGGAGTAAATGAAAAGCTTCGAGCTCTACTTGGTCTATACGTTCTGCAAATCTTGGTTGGTGCTCTTATGTTGAACCAAAGTTCTAGGTTGGGTGTTTATTGTTTCAGTAGATGTACGAGTGATTTAATTTCCAATAGTCACCTTGGTTCTAAATCTACTTGTCTTGTTGGGATTGGTTGACTTCCATTCTTGATCTCTTGATTTTTTTTTTTCAAGTTTTATCAAATCATGTGCTTGTTTGTTTTTGTTGGTTTTAAGATACATACTCGATGTGCAGGCATCGGTTTCAGTTAGCAGCAGATGTAATTCTTCAAGTCATCTTCCCTTTGCAGTGCGATTGGCATGCTTCCTTCCATATTGTGGTTTGTCCTATCTTGGTTTGGTAATTGGGTCGGATGTTGACAAAATGTCTGGCATTGTTATTGAAGGTACAGTTCATGAGTTGCTGAGTTAATATCCTTCATGATTGTTTCCTAAAGGATTACAAGATTAAATTAAGATCTCCACCTTCTTTTGTTCTTATTATTTCTCTAACATGTTTTGTTTGATGCATAATTATGAAATGCACAGAGAACGAAGATGAGAGTATGATTTTTTCATCCCATGTCTATCTTGGTGCATCAATTTCAGGTTTGTGTTTTGCATATACAAAATTTCCTCATTTTGTTGATCTTTTTTCCTCATCTGACATCATCAGTCACAGAAAACATTACCTATTTCTTTGACATGCATAGAATTTTTGTTGTTTATTGATGCAGTGATTTGGGCCCAAATGTGTGATGAGGTTGCTCAGGTTGCCAAGGAGGATTTGAGTGCTGTTAAGGGAGAACTTCAAATTAACCAGACAAAAAGGTGGCAGGCAATCGGCATGTTAAAGCACATATTCTCATCTGTTGATCTTCCATGGGAATTTAAGAGACATGCTGTTGATTTCTTGCTTGATATAACAAATGGAAATATCTCCAAGAAGATAGATGATGAACATGACGATTGCTCTCTTTACATGACTAGCCTTTTTTCTGCTTTGCAGGTAGTCTCCTTCCATCTTGTTTTTATACATTCTTTTTTGCACTCTCTTGCTCTCTATCAGTCTGATGGCCAAAATGAACATTGCAGGCCATTACAATGATTATCATATACGCATCTGATACAGTGCTAAGGAAAAATGCCTTTGAAGCACTTAAAAGGGTTAGGATTTTTGTATATTATGGTTCCTCAGTCAATCTACCTCAGTATGTTGAAATTTATTATCTTATAAAGTTCATGTCTTCAGTTATCTACAAATGCTTTTAGTGTTCATACTGATTTGCTACTAAATACCAGGTTTTGGCTGATATTCCAAATTCTCAGAGATTTGACATTTTAAAAGCTCTAATTGAAAAGAGCAACTCTTCCTCTATGGTAAAATTCAGCATACATGACTATTATTTGATGTGATTATAGTTGAAGATACATTTCCTAAAGTAGTTCCTCCAACTCTGCATAGGTTGCAATTCTTCTAGATTGTGTTAGAGGGGAAATGCACATGGAAAGAACCCTGAGGACATCAATGGGAAAAAATGAAGTCCTAGGGGCTGACAATAAAGCATGTAAAAATACATTATTTTGGAGTACAAGCATCCTTGAGTTGGTGGAGTCAGTTTTGATGCCTCTGAAGGGAGGACCTCCAGTCCTTCCAGAAAATGGTGATGCGGTATTTCTTTTGCATCTTTTGCCTGTTGATGTTTAAATTATTGGAGTTATCTTGCTTAGAGCATTTCAATGGTTCTTGTATTATTGTCTTCCCTGGATTGTGGTATTTCTTTCTATTGCTTCACGTTTTAAGGTCTTCTAGAATGGTTCTTGTTCATTATCACGCTAGGCATTTCCTGTATGTAACAGATTCATTATGATGTTTTACAGGTTCTATCCGCCCTTAATTTGTACCGATTTGTATTGATGACAGAATCAGCAGGTAAAACTTAGTTTACTGGTTTATTGAAGATGAGAACTTAAGGCCTTAGATGCTCTTGTTTCTTGCAGTGTGTGCTCTTTGTTGTCTGCATACTAGCATAGCACGTCCGTGGTAATGTGCTTTTACTAGGTTTGGTGTTTGTATTTATGTAATGAGCCGAGGCCCTGGAGTTTGATTTTAGAATAGTTATGACACATTCACTAATTCCAGCTTTCTCCCTCCATCAACAAAGTCCATGTTAAACATTTCTATTCAGTCATGGGTAGAATTAATACTATTCTCATAGATCTCGGTCCCAAGGCTCAGCTCCTGGTCAGTTTGACCATTGAAGATTTGGCCTCTTTATAATATGATATTTGCCGTCTAAGCCAATGGAGTTTTTGTAGGTGCTTCACCTGTCATCATCCATATTGCTCTTTATTTTTGACGTCGTGGCAAATGGAACAGGAAAAACCAACTACACTGGAGTGCTGTCCAAGAACAATTTGCAAAAAGCCTGCAACGAATGGCTCCTACCTCTTCGAACCCTTGTGACAGGCATGATGGCAGAGAATAAGAGCGATTATGATCAACTTGCGATTGACACTGTATGTGCTCTGAACCCAGTTGAGTTGGTTTTGTACCGCTGTATTGAACTTGTTGAAGAAAAACTGAAATATTCAAACATGACATCGGTCCAGCATGCTTGACGGTTCTTGCTCAAGCAAGCCATTTATTGGGGAAATTCCCCACAACCTGATACAACAACTAAGAGTTCTAAAATGTTAGGTAGGTGTCGCCAATACAAAAATTATTGTTTCAATCTTACGTTAAATATGTATTTTTGCTTAGCTTTATTCCTTTGGAGTAGGGTGTTTTTGTGCTTTTAGTGCCTGAAGCGAAATGGATAAAAATGGTTTCATCGTAGGATTCCTTATCAGTCATCATAGACCGGTGTGGATACCTTTGTCTCTTACAGTAGTTACTGGGGGATGGTAGGATGGTCCATCTCTTTGCTGTGAAATGTTGAGTTTGTTAGGACTGATTAATCAAATCAAATCAAATCTGTCCTCATGGTTGTCTACCCTACATCAAACTTTTTCGTGTAGATAATTATTCTATACCAAAATTCATTGCGCATTTTCCGATGACTTTTGAATTCATTCCTAGATTTTTATTTATCACATTAATTTCATTTGCAGAATTTAAAAATTCCATCGATAATATATTAGATGATAATTACAAATAAAAACATGATTGTGGAATTTGGATTTGTTCCCTGAGAACCATGCATTAGAGGTCTTATAATCTATAGCATAATCCATGTAGAGTGCTTTGATTAACTCCTTGTTTTGGCTAGTTGGTACGGGAGCTATACTTGTTTAGCTAGATTGGATTAAATATTTGAATCTATTAGGCCAAAAACCATTTCCTCTCAATTTAGGACCGTCCTTCACCGTTATATGCAAAGAGCCAAAATTAAAAACAGGCGTCAATAATTTTATTTCGATAAGTTAATTACATATTTTCTAACTTTATTTTTGTTATATCATATTGCTATCAATAAATCAAATATTATTATTTTTATTAATACATAATTTTAAAATTATTTTATGAAATAATACTCTTAAACTTTAGCTGTGTTTAATTATTATAAAGCTCCTTGTTTTGCTTGCGATGAAAGTTGCCATCTGCCACCCTTTTCCGCCAGGATCCGGCATCGAGATATAAAAGCTGAAGGGAGAATACTTTTCCCAACATAGTATCAACACTTTTTACCTAGTCAAAAGGACCATCCCGGTAACGGCTTGCCTACCCCTTTCTACCTTTGACCGTTATTCCGGTGGTGAATCAGCACCTCTCGCACTGAATTGTGATTCAAAGGCATATATATATATATAGTTGAATGGGTTCATAAAAGGAATTTCGCTACTAAAGAAGGTTGTAAGGAAACAGTATCAAAGATTGTGGGAAAGTCCTTTTCCGAAATTCCTACCCCATGCTTACAGAATAATTTGGTAAAGGGGGTACCGGAAGCCGAGTTTCTAACAACAAAATTTGTGAAAATTAGTTTTCGAGAAGCTTACACAGCGTGGCCATCGTGGGATTGGTACCTACAAAGAATCGCAATTATTTTCTACATAATTCCGAAACAAGAAGTAATGAGGGTTTACCCCAACGAATTCCGGAGGAATGTGGGAAATCTGCTGCAACCCATGACAAGAATCTCTACACCATCCACAGGCTAAAGGGATTTCTACACTACCCTGAAAATTCTTCTCTGTAAACCTTTCGAGTGTTGGCACCTGGAGCAACTTTAAACTGTTAAATCTGTTTGCCTGGCCGGAGTCTTGGTATTAGTTACATCAGCAAATAAGTTCCTTGGCCAGTGTCACTATTGTTTGGTCGAGTAAAACCCCTCCACTTTCTCACACCCTTTGGCTGCGAGAAGGGGGAAAGTAGTCAGCTCATCTTTTCTCAGCTAGTCCCATATAACATCTCGGTGCCGGAATCATCATCAGCAGGCATCATATTTAGATCAGGCAGTAAGAAACAACTGTCCCCACTAGAATCAGCCTTCCCTGCATCGCAAGAATCTAACAGTGGCTTTTGATCATCCAGGGAATGTGACGGCAAGGTGGTCGTGGGAATGTAGTTAAGAGAGGAAGGTACTCTCTGGCAAAATTTACTACAAGGTACTTTCTCCTCCGGTTCATCAACAATTAAACTCGAGTTCTTTGCAGTATGAAAGTTCCAATCAAGCTGAAAAACAAGTAAGTTCACATTTCCATCATTAAACCTATCTTTTCGTAAGATATTGATTAATGAATCTATACTAATCATGTCAACTTAGCGCATCAAAGTTAGTCTAGCTCACCTTGATTCTTTTCAAGTTCTCATTCCTGGCTCTCTGTTCTTTACAAGTAGCACGCATGGATGCAATCTCCTGTTCAATGAATAGAAGATGACTGTAAGATTATCTGACCACAGTCAAGAAGGCACATGATGGATGCAAAACCCTCAAACTCAAACACACCTTTTTCAAATAAACCCTTTCCTTCAAAAGCAGAGTCTCCTCCTCCTTAAGTTCAGCAAATGTCTGAAAAAATGACAACAATCAATACCAGATTAGAAACCCATGAATCATCATCAGAATTTTCTTACATAGATATATTTCCGAATGAAGATCAAACTAAATTGTTTACCTTCTTCCTTCTTGGCCTCTTGGTGGATGTGCTAGTGGTTTCATTAGCAGCAGCAGTGCCCTGCAACATCCATCAGCCAAATCATAAAGAAAGGAGTAAAAATCCGAAGTGGATGAACACTCAAACTAAAAGTTAAAAGTTGGGGTCCCATCTCATGAAACTCAAACACATGCATGCATTGACATTATCCAAATTGTCATAAATACTTAACAGAAGCTGACTCACACGTCACATTTACACAAACCATTTTTTTATTAACATAATTATTAAAACTAAAAAAAATGGGAAGAGAAAAATGAGATGGCACTCTCACAAGGTCACAACCAAAAAACATGTAAACCTCTGAAAGGGCTCCAAGTAGGGGACAGCTGGCAATCTCAGAGTGGTGGAAGGGCACGGTATTGAATATTGCCAAATGCCCGCTCCTTCTCACCCAAGTGAACCAGTAAGAAGAAGCCATGTCATTTTCACAGGCATGTTAGCATATGATTTAAGCTCTCCTCTAATTCTGATCCTCACCTCACGTGACTTCTCCCACGTGACCCTTTCTGACATGGCCGGCAGATATTGGGTCACTAGCTGTATAAAACTAAGCTCCCCAACACCTAGTTAAAATTCTCACCTCCCAAATTTCAAGTTATTTCACCACTATTTTTCATTCTTTATTTTTTTCCAAATCAGACGGTCCATGCTCGATCCGATCCCCAATCATAAATGTTGGGCATTGTGGGGCATTATGGGACCCAGACGCCCAAAGATATCCCAATCTCGGAAAAAGGTTAGGGCCGTAAAAGAGTAGATAAACACGAGAAAAACCGATGCGAATACAAGTACAGTTACAGATAGTGATGGGAGCGGGAAGACCCACCAAATTGGATTGCACCCGCGTCACACCTGATAATCGCTCTGTCCCTTGATCATCATCATCAACAACATTACACCCAACCGAAAGAACGCAGACCTACAGCCCTTCCTTTTACGGGACTCCACCTATCAAACTGCTTTCACGTTATGACCAAAATACCCTGGGATCCTCTACGGGGAAGCTTCCTTGCTTCTTACGGTGGGGGATGGGCCCCAGTGAATTTCTTTTGCCTGACGAAATTGTCCTTTTACTGAAAAGCGTACTGGACATCCTGGTAAGTAGAATCTAAGGGGGGGTTTGGTTTTGGAAGGGCGATTTGGTAAATCTAAAAAGGCCAACAAAAGAATGACAGGTGACCGGAAAAGAGGCGAGAAGAAAACGTGAGGCGCTTCCAATCTGCGTATGGGTGCTGACCTCACGTGAAAAACGTAAAACCTTTAAAAGCACCAGGACATTTTAGTCCAAACATAAAAAGGATGACACTTGTTGCTGTTCATTATTACTATTATCCTGTTAGAAACCGATGGTCGGAGAGATCGAACCCATAAAAACCTTTCAGTTCGAAGATGATGAGAAAAACCGTAAACAAAATGAGCAGATTCGACCTTCGGAAAGTTTTTTAAAGGGCATTTTCGTCAGCTGGAATGGAGAAATCCATGCAATCGAGGAAAACCGATCATAAATTTTACGTGATACGAAAAGAAATATGTGTAAATAAAGAAGATTAAAAAGGGGTTAGATGGTCATTTGACCTAAGGATTGGGAAAGAAGAAAAGGGGTACATAAGAAGTTAGAGAAGAATGTCTCGTCGACGGGACATAAACGATAAAACAAAGACAAAGCCAGAACCAAAACCACTTCTTCAAATCCGCAGAACAGTGGTGGTCACACGCAATTTTTACACGCCAGACGGGGATATTTCCGTCAACTCCGACCCAAGTATGCACACGCGAAAGACTAGCTCCTTATCCCAGACAAACGACGGAGAGTGTGTGTGTGTGTGTGTGTGTGTGTGTGTGAGAGAGAGAGAGAGAGAGAGAGAGAGCAAGTGAACAAGAAACCTTGGATCTGGAAGTGCAGCTGGAGGAGAGCGAACGGCGTGTCTACTGGTCTCTTCGAAGCCACCGGCGGTGGAAGGAGAGGCGCCGCCGCCGCCGCCACCGCTCCAAGAAAGAGGCGTGGTGGGGCTAGCTCTGGTACCGACGTTGAAATCCCCATCTTTCTTGGCGTCGCATCGCATCGACATGGACCTAGACCTCGGCTGCCGCATCCCCCATCTAAGTGCAGCCACCGCAGATTTCGGAGCCGATGGCACTGCCTGCGCTTGTTTCAGCCTCACCAGAAGCTCCACCACCACGTTGTCATCTGTCATCGCCGCCCGAACCCACTCATCTTTCACCATCGTCTCATCATCGTACACCACCTCCACCACCAACCAACGAAAACAAAGGAAAGAAAGAAAGAAAAGAACCCCAGACGTTAACAAAGAGGATATACGGGGTTTGCAAGAGGGCAGCGAGAAGATATGGGGAAAGGGAAGGGAGAGGAGGGGTGGCGAGGAATGAGAGAAAAAAGTTAAAAATGTGTAAAAGTGACGGAGATGGGTTGTGGGCAGTGTATATATACGAGGGTGTCTTTTCTTCTCTTTTCTTCTTTTCTTTCTCTGTAATAAAAAAATAAAAATAACATTTATTTAATTAATTAGTAAATATTTTTGAAAGTTGTTTGTGTGGTGGAGTAGATTCCAGTTTTTCGGTTTGGTTTCTCGTTTTCTTATATAAACGAGCACTTTCCCCTCTCTCTCTCACTCCCTCTCTCGCGTTGGGCAAAAGGGTCGCGAGAGTCATATGTGTGTGGGGGGTCTGACTCTGACCTTTTTCATTTTTCTTTTCAGGATGAGAAAAATGGTGGGGTCCAGAGATGACATGTGGCACTGACGGGGTTTCATTTTGTTTTTGGCTTCTAGGGCTTCGGAAACTGATAAACCCACCACTGCTGATTCATTGCCCTTCTTTTTGTTTTTTTTTTTCCTTGTTTGGAAATGTCTTCCGATGATCTGAGTTAATTATATATATATATATCTTATATGGAAATAAAATAGTCAAGTGCAATAGGAGGTAATTACCCCTTCTTTCTTCTATTACCTTCTAATCTAATGCTGTCTTCTTTCTTTCTTTTTTTAGTACTTAGTATTAGTGTATTTGAGGACGAGTCTTATTTTAAAGTTTTAAAAAATTAAATTAATTAAATTTTTATTAAAAATTTTGAAATCAACTATACTCTAAACCAAAATAAGATCTTAACTTATTTCAATCAATTTAATAAATTTTAAATATTTATTATATATCAAAATAAAAAAAATTTATTAATTTTATCTATTATTTAATTTTATATTCTTATTTCCTGACTTGATTTATCATTGTCAAAATATAATTTTTCTTGTCTATTAAAAAAAATTAATCAATTGCATCTTCAGATTCTAATCTCCTATTCACTATACTAACTGGATTTCCTTAATTAATTAAAAAAATAAATTCTCTTGCATTCACAAACCGTTACTAAATTCTTAGTTACTGCTGTGAAAATGGGGCATGACTTTATTTCGATTATTATTAATACTAATATATTTATTAGTAATAATTTTTGGTGGGCAATGAGATGCAATTGTTTACTTATAAAAATATATTTTGATAATATATCAAATATAAATATAAAAATTTTTAATTATTAATAATCAATAATTACTTATATGATACATATAGATATATGGAAAACTAGTACTGATTATTGGATGTGTAATGAACAAAAGAAGGGATTTTAATTATCTTATATAAGAAAATACTTGATTTAGTATTTTGTCCTTTGGGTAGATATTAATAAAAACGCAAAATTGGAAAGAGTGAAACGGCACCGGTGGAGGATATAAAAAGAACAAATGATGATTGGGGAGAAGGGGAAGGCTAGGGTTGGGCTTAGCGTGGCTGACAAGACTGCCTTTCGGCGAGTACACGTCTCAGCCTCCGCTCTCCTCTCACTATTTCTAGTTCTTTGTTCTAGGCTGCTGTCTGTCGGCCTCGCCAAAGCGGATTGGATTAGAGAGTTTTAATCCTCCAAACGCCACTGTTGGACCTGCTTTTTTTTCTCTCTTTCTTTTGTTTCTTCAACGTTATTACAGTGATTATTAGTGTTGATTCTTTTTACTATTAAATTATCTGAGTACAAGTAATTTTTTTTAACTCGAGTATTAAAAAAATTTTATTTTACTAATTATTTTGGATTTATAGGATATGAAATAATTATTATTTTCTGTACATGAGATTTTTCGACGGGAGTATGTGGCACGTCATCAAGGTAAGTATACAATAATATTGATTAATAATCGACAATTGTACATCTTGCATTAAAATTGAATATGGTGTAGATTTAAATGAAAAATAAAAATTAAATTACGTAAATAGATATAGTTTAATGGTTATTATTATTATTATTATTATTAATTAATTAAGCCTATTCTTTTAGCTTTGCTTGCATTCATTGCTGCCCCGTCTGTTTTGTTTGTACAGACTATATTTATAAAACTATGTTAGGTAGAATATTAATTGTTACCGTAACACGAATGCAATGTATGCAAATAAATTTCTCTGGAATTCAATGGCATTGTAAGTAAAATAAATTGGTTAGCTTTTGAGAAAATTACAATATGAGATTTGGGAGAGGAAGAGTAAAACCCAAGAAGAGTAGGGCAAGGCCGTGGAGTGAAAGGAGACCATTTTCTCACTTCCTTAGCTTAATGATCCAATTAAAAGGCCCAATCTGCTTCTTTTTCTTCTTGTTGTTCTTTTGGTCAATCTATCACCTTAGGATGATGTCTAGTATCACGATGAAGGGAAATTTTGAATTTTATATCGATTATGTATTAAAATATAATTAAATATTTAAGTGATTATAACATCTTCAATTTATGAGATAAACTAGTGAGATTTATTAAGTCAAAACAAACAATACATTGCAACTTAGTTTAAAAACCAACACCTAGGAACTAAGAAACTTGAAATGTAATTGAAGAGTGTCAAAGCGTGTAACTTTCTCTTTCAGAAATTTCTTAACAGAAAGTCAAAAAATGGCAAAAATTCAAGGAGAATGTTATCCAATGAAGTGAAACCCATATCTAAACAAAAACCATAAATTTAGTAGTAGTTGAGAGTAATTCATTAGGTGGGAAGAACAAAAATGCAGTAGGTAAACCCAGAAAACGAAGAACCAAACCCTGCAGTTTTGGACAATTATTGAGGTCACCTCATCCATGACCCGTCCTGGCTCATTACGGATCAGCCTTCTCAGACATTGCTTTCCCTCCTATCTGTGCATTTATGTATGGCTTTGGCCTTTGAGGATCCATGGAGTGAAAACATTACCAGAGAGTAACTCTGCCATTGAAATTAAGCCAGCTAGCCACCCACTTGCAAAACTTAGTCCCAGCCAAAATTGGTGACTGTTAAATTATGGACATAGTTCAATCAATTCAGCAATGAAGAAGCCAGTTTCTGGGACCAAAGGCTATGATTTTTTTTTTCTGTGTAAAATTTTTGAATGGGTGTAAGTCTCAACTTTTCCTGCACATTGCATAAGGCATATGTTGGATGCTTCTTAACTTGGACAGTGAAAATCATGATCAGAAAAACAAAAGAACAAGAAAAAAGCAATCTGATGATGATCTTTAACAATAAATGCAAACCCCCAGAACAATCATTTAATAGTTTACAGTCCAAAAGAAATGGAGTAATGGCTGAACAGGTAACTTGGCCAAGCCCTAACCTTTATGCCTGGTAAAAAGAACTTGTAAAAAAATTGAACAAATTTCTACACTGTTTTTTTTGTACAATTGCATGTTGGGTACACTGGGATGGGCCAGTTTGATGAAGCAAAGATAGCATATTAAAAGAACAATTGAAGGAACCTCCACTCGCAGCTTGGTCTGCGTGGCTTAAGGATTAAATTGCAAGACACCAACCGTCTCCATTTCCTGGACAACTTGTGTGGTTTTATATAGAGCATGGACAATGAGACAATACCCTCTCCCCCGCCCCCCCAACTTTAAGAAAAGAAGCAGAGCCAAGGACGCTTGCTTTAGTCCACGTTTGTCAGAAAATGGGGTTTTAAGTAATCCATTAGACCTTGCTTTTAGGTTGAGGTTTGTTGGTCTCTATGCGACTTTGGAGTCCTTGACATGGACACTTTTTTGTCCTCATCGAACATCAATCTGGGTTAATGTAAATTTCAAACTCTCTGTTTTTTTGATTTCAGGATGAAAGCGAGGGACTGTATCCTGCCCATGACTGTCCATAATGTTTTCTTTTACTGTTTATTTATTTACAGCAAATATCGTGCTCCCAGTAGAATCCAAGGTAAGGTAGCCTCCCTCCGAATTCTCCTTGGGGCTTCGCCCCGACATACAGAAAACGATAGTCATGAAACCATAATGGGCTAATGCAGCCCAAGGAAGCGTTGCCCTGCCTGTCTAAGAAAGTCGGAGACCATGAGACGGACCCGTCTCCTTGCTGTAAACCGAAGAAGCCGAACGGGCATAACCATCTGGACCTCATCAGCCAGCTCGGTTTCCTTCCAAAAACATTTCTATTTTCTGACTATTATGGCGGTTTGGGTTCTGGTACATCTCTATTTTCTGACTATTATGCCGGTTTGGGTACTGGTAATGTACTGTAAAGAAGTTGCCAGGATCTTGCAGATACCAGCTCAGTTTCCTTCCAGAACATTTCTATTTTCTGACTATTATGCTCGTTTTGGGTTTTCGTACTGTACCGTAAAGTGTTAGTTTCCAGGATCTTGCTCAACCCTTTGAACATGATATTTCCAGTCTTGCACGGTGTTGGACTTTGGAGCGTGTTGTCAAAATGAGAATTGCCTGTTCTCGTTCTCAACGTCCCCCAGGAACGTTTGACCCTTGGCCAGAACTTAACTACCCTGTCTCTGTTGATTAATCCAGACACGGTTTAGTAGGTGGACCAAGACAACAGATAGGGGTGGAACAACCACCACCAGCAGGACAAAAAGCAGTTGCCTGAATTTGTTTGTTAACCCTTAAAATCCTAGCAATTCCTTCAATTAACAAGTACTTTAAACTAGGATCATTTGCACCCAACAACCAAGATATTATCAATTCAGCCTTTAGCCCTTGATTCTGCCAAAAATTTGGCATCTGAAATATTCATTTAATGGGCCAAAATCTGAAATGGTTCCTTCTTCAGGCAGAACAAGCTCAGCAATCATTGGGAAAAATCATCAGCTTAACACTGAGAAACAACTAGAAATTTTACTGATAAATCAACCGGTAACTACATAATAAGCAACTGATAAGCAGGAGGGATACATAAATCAATTACATGATTTCACATCCTAACACAATAACACTAGTTCAAACACAAACCCAGCAAATCTACCCTTACATATATTACCCAATACTAGTAAAAAGGAAATGAAATTTTACCCCATAAGAGAAATCAAAGAAGAAAGATGAAGAGAACTAGACAGTAGAAACCCAGGAGACACCCTGCGTATTAAAGCAAACGATCTAACATAAAAACTATACAGCGGAGGAACTTTGATTAGGAAGACTAAAAACCTACATTTTTGAGTTAGCTTATTTCGATTTTTTCCCCTTGAAAAAATAAGGGATGATCGAAAATTAGAGAACCCAAACGAGTGTTATCAACAAACTGCAACAGATTTATTCCAGCACCAGCCCACGATTCGTCGCTGTTAGCTACAAATCCAGCCTTAATATCCTCCTCAAATCACTTGTAGCATCATCGTTCTTCACGGCAACGCTGCTCTTCTTCGTGAAAAACGCCGGCATGGGAACCGAACTCGGCGGAGGCGATGTTATAAAGGCCGACCCAGCATAAAAAGCGGCTGGAATGACCTTGTTGCTGTTGCTGTTTGACTCAGTAAGGCGGATCTGGGTTGGAACGGACCCGGGATCTGGACCTAAACGGTTAGTGGAACCCAGATCTACACCGACGTTTTCCTTTTCCAAACTTACAGACTTTTCCGGCGTCGATTTTTTTAAATCTTCGCCGCGTTTGAGGATCTTGACTTGACCCATCACGAGATTTTTGGCCGGAACTTTGGGGCCCACGGTGGGACGAGAAGGAGGGGAGGTGTTCGGAGATCGCTTCTTACGGTTGGGTTGTGCCCGGTTCGTTCGGGCAGGATTTGGAACTTGGTTTTTCGGTTGCTTCACAGGACTAGGGAGCGGAAGCTTTAGACAATCCCCTGGTTTTAGAACTGCAACACCCATGGCTGATCAACAAGGGATTTATAGATTGAACAAAGGATGCAGAACAATTAAAGAGAATTTAAAGCTTCGGAAACAGAATCTGATTGAGGATTTGCAGACGAAATTTAAGAGAAGAATCAGAGAAAGATATAGAAATAATTATTCGTAAATTACAAAGAAAATGGCCTTGAGGAGAGAGTGAGAAGGAAGAAACAAGACATGGAAATGATACTAGGGTTGCCCGGAGGAAGGAGGGGTTTTAAAGGAGAGCCAAAAGTAATTTGATTGCGTGGCCACACGGGTTATGGCGGTTTCCATTCCACTCTCTTCATGGCGGTGAACAACTTCGTCTTTCCCTGTTTAATTCCTTTTATATTTAAGCATTTTTTTAATGATTTTTAAAAAATTAAAATACTCATTTTCTCTCTTTTTTTAATTAAAATAATTTTCAGAAATGTTTTAATATATTTTAAAACGAAAATCTAAAATATAAGGTATTTAAAAATTAATAAAAATCATTTTGAGACATCTCAAAAAATTTAAAGGGAGTATAATTGAACAATCAAATTTAAAATTGATAAATGCGTAAGAATAATTAAATTTGATAAAAGAAACAATTCATGTGACTGCAATCATCTGAAAGTTTTTATTTTCTATTATTAAAAAAATAATAATTTTATAATCTTTTACATATTATTTTATTTAAACCTATCTATATTTGATGCACATATATAAATTACATTTAAATTTAAAAATTAAATATATATATATATAATTTTAAAAATATTTATTCTGAAATATAATAATTTTTAACTTTATACTTTTATAAAGTGATACATTATCATTAAATGATATTATATACAGATAATATAATGATAAAAAAATAAAATGATCTCGAGATTTTTTTTTGAATAAAAAATAGATACTACCAATTATTTCTTGTGTGGTATTAAAATTGAGAGTAGAAATTAATTGTTAATTAAAATTTTTGGCAAGATGTAGAATTTTTCTTTGATTTTGGCTTTAGGGCGTGACAAATAAGCCATTTATGGCAAAAAAATCAAATAATTCAGGATTTTCGGGTGTGTATTGATCACGGGGAATTAGGCGCGTGGAAAGTAGTGGTTCGAGGAAAGAGCCCACAAACACTTGGTTTCGAGGGTTGGGCTGTCTGACGTGGGTGCTAAACAACCGGTGGCATAATTATCCACCACCTTAGCAGTTCCTCCCTGTACTTCTACTCTATTTACAAAAACGCCCAGCAATGATTGCCCATGGTTTAGGTTATGTGTCAAGTTGCAAATTTTTAATTTCCCTGTTTTTCGGATTAAAAAACCTGTTGAATTGTGTCTATTTTTCAAATTAAATATTTATTTTTTTATCTGAATAAGTTTTACTTGCACAATCAATTAATTTTAGCGAAAAATTAATTATCATCACAATCTAATTTCACATATCTTATAACCTGCTAGTTTATATATCAACATGATAATTAATGTAATTATATGATAATTAATATAAAATGAATCAGTTGATTAAATCATTAAATCAAGTCATATGTCACATAAATTAAATGAAAATTACTTGAAGCTATAATTAAGGGTTGTATGTTACTGTAACAATCCAAATCTAAATATCATAAATACAACAATTTGTACATGTAAATCACTTGATTTTTAAAAATTTTATATAAATTTTAATAATTACATTTAGATTTAATATGAGATGAAACATTACAATTACAAATTAAAAAAATTATTTGAATATATTATAAAAATAAAAACTTAATTATATAAATTTAACATAATTCACAATTTCTTATTATTATTTAAGCATTGCTTTTTTTGACTAATAAATTAATAATATATGCAATGAAATTCTCGAATTAAAATAATAAAAGGCCAAAACGAAAGTGACCACGTCTTTTTGTGGCAAACACAATAAAAAAAAAAGGGAGAAATGGAAAATATCTAACGGATGGCTGAGGCGGTCGACAACCTTTGACGTTTGCTTTGCCTTGTGATTACAAGCCACGTGTTCAAAGCTACTTTTGGTCAATGGAACGGCTAAAGCACCTTTTAAAAGCAAGCCAATCAAAGCTTACCCGTGACTGAGGGTTAGCCGCTTAGGTTTCGTAATTTTCCTGGAAACCAATGGGCATTTGTTGAACGTGAAAGGACTTTGGGATCTCCTTTCGGGGACAGCTGGAGCTAAACCATATGTGCACGTGTCGAATGAGCATTGGGATGACGTAGACGTTATGAAAAAGACGTGTGCCGCGTGGGTTAGCCGACTTGCATGGTCTTTGGGGGTAATTTTGCATATTCGGCTCTTTGCTAGGCTGGCTGGAAATTTTTTATGAACCGGTTTAAGCCCTTCGCTTGGAAGCTTTCAAAACAAAGTTTAGGTTGTTCAATCCATTGGGTTTTAAAATTTTTTAAAAAAAATTAATTAAAAAAATAATTAAATGGATAAATTATTCTTTAAAATCCAAATAATGTTATAATTTCGACTTTAAATCCAAAAATATGAACATGTAATGTTGTTATACTTATTTACTTAAAAGGACAATAGTTCTTAAAGCAAATTGTAAGAAATAATCTTTTTCATAAATTTAATTTTAAAAAAAATTATTTTAATTTTAATTATTTTTTAACATAACTTGACAATAATATCTTTTAAATAATTTCAGATAAATTAAAAAAAAATTAATTTTCTTTATCTTGCTATTTAGATAAAAATTTAAAAATTAAATCTCGATTTCTCTTACAAAATATTATCTATTTCACAATTCAGCTATTTTTTGCTATCTTAAAAAGCATAGATGACATCAAGGTATGTGTTTTAGGTTATTGAGTTTATTAGTTTATTTATAAAATCTTAAAGTTAATAAGTTAAAATTAATTATACATATTTATAAATTAAAAACATTATAACTTTGGCAACTTAACATTGTGTCACTAGTTTTAGATATTGCAAGATTAGTTTTTAAGTATTATACTACTTAGTCATTGCATCTCTAGTTTTTAGGTAATACGTAACTGGTTTTAGACATTGTATGAATGCCTAAGTCACACAATACCTAAAAACTAGTTATGCAATATTTTACTAACCAGTCACACAATGTTTTATTAACAAGTCACGTAATGTTTATCAATTAATCATGCAATACCATACCAACCAGTCACACAATACTTAAAAATCAATTATACAATACTTAAAAATTACTTACGACATATCAAAAAATAAATTACGCAATACTTAAAAATCACTAAAACTATTGAATTCTATTTAATAAAATTATCAACTTTAAATAATACATTATATTTCATTTAACAATATAATAAACTAATATGCTTACTTGGCGAAAAATGCTCAAAATGCTGAAAAGTTTTTTTTCATATATCAAAAATCATTTCAAAATGTTTAAAATGCTCAAAAGGTTTTCTTTTTGTATCAAAAATCATTCTAAAATGATTAAAGATTTTTTTTCTGACAAATAATACTCTAAAGATGAATGATCTACTGATGAAAGCTTAAAAGATATAAGTTGATTTAAGACACGAAATCTAAATATATAGGTTAATTTCATTAGAAGTAATTTTATCTAAAATTAATTTTTTTTAATTAAAAATAGTTAAAACTATAAAAAGATTATTTTCAAAAACACCTTATATATAAGGGATATTTTTGAAAAGAACCCTAGTTCTTAGCTCAAGGACTTATTGCATTCTTTTGTATAATACAATAAAGAATCAAACTCAATGTTTAATGCTTTTCGTGTAAATTTTGATTTCTTTTCTTTTTGTTAATATTGGATGTTTATGGTGAAATCTTCCTCTTTTTATATCCTCGTACTTTTTTCTTTTTAAATTTTAATGATTTTATCATTAGAGATTATTTATATAATATAATGTATTTTAAGAAAGGCAAAGATATTATTATCTAATATATTGATCAAAGAATTTTAGCATATTACATATGTTATGTTCTAAATTTTTTAAAATGCTCTCGAAATTAATGATGTCATTTTTCTTGATATTTAAATCTTAAATTTATTTTTAATCTCATATATCTCTATGATTAAAAAAGTGTTTTGTATCATCACGATCACATCTTATTGTTAAAAATAAATTCATATATGTGTTACTTTTTGTTCGGTGTATTTGTTTTTGACTAAATTAATACAAAACATATACCTTTATTTAGATTTTATAGAAGGGGAGTGCACCATTAACATGAAATTTCCTTCTTTGTTATCGCCTAAATTTTTTATCTTTAAGCAAAATTTAGAGCTTCAATAGTTGGATATTGAACAAAGCTTTAGGCTTGGCCTTGGGCTTATGCAAGTTTCAAAGCCCGACAGTCCTGTCAACCTATTTACTAGTTACAATTCTAATTGGTTGCCGAACTACTGCTTGTCTCCACATTTTTGTTTCATACGATGTGAGAATGTATATCAACTTGATTATAGGTGTTTTTGAAAATTTTAAATAAAATTGTCCTTAAAGAACTCTTTTTATATTCATGTACATGAAAAAAAAAATATTGCTACATGTATTGTTGAAAAAAAAAACTATTATATATTATTATGAAAAAAAATTATTATATGTCATGATGAAAAAAGTTATTACATGTCATATTAAAAAAATATTAAAATTATTATACATTATATTAAAAAAATATTATTATTACACATCATATTCAAAAAAATTTTACTATACATCATTTTGAAAAAAAAATATTACATGTTATGTTAAAAAAAGTTGTTACATTTTATTTTGAAAAAAATGTTGTTATTATATGTAATGTTCAAAAAAATTTTGCAATATGCCATTTTGAAAAAAAAAATATTGTTACACGTCATACCATATTCAATCAATTTGTTACACGCTAAAGGCATGTAAATATAAATTAATAAACTAAATAGCATGTCATTTATAATTTTTGGTATGTAAATCGACGATAACATGACGAAAAGTTATAAGATAGATAGAAAGAGATAATAGTGATTAAATTAAAGAGATATGAAAGATGAGAGAATTCGAGAGATTTAATTTATTTAAAATAATTTAAAAAATATTTTTATCAATTCGTGATATTTTTGAAATAGACTTATAAGATTAGTGTTCAATCATAAGTGGCACGATGAAATCTATTTGATAGCTACATGTCTTGACGAATCCCATCAACATTAGACTATGATAGAATATAATAGGTTCAAAGAAATGACTAAAACCTACATAGTATTACCCCTGAAAAA